CAGACAGCAGCCAGAAGCGAGGAGAGCGGAAGAATGAACAACTATTGTAATGGAATATTTATCTTTTAATTTTCTCCTTTTAATCATAAGTGTAGGGCTGCTGCATCTCTATATCTATGTAAAAACGGAATAAAAATTCAGTAAAAAAAATTAGACATCTTCAAGGATCTTATAAAAATTACTTTGAAGATAAAGCATCTGAGTAAATTACAATAATGTGGCTTTTATCTAGATTTATGAAACAAAAGATACCACCGTCCTCTTTAAACTCAGTGACTTCATTTTCCTTCAAAAGCATATTAAAGGTATGCATTATTACAATCTAACACCATGGTTTAATATGCTTTGTTATTGAATAAAGAAACTTCTTTATTAATTTTTGCATGAGCCGGGTGTTGATGTTTTCTTGGCTTTGACACTGATTAGCTAGTTTTCAATTTATAAGCTTACATATTACTAACTCAGACATAGTATAAATGTATTACAAGAGACTGTTAGTCATTAAAAGTTTTTGTTGCTATTATAAAAAGTAAAAAATCTAGAATGCTGTTCTCTACCTGTTTGTTTATTCATTTACTTTTTCCTGTTGTCTTTCATATAGTCTTTATCTCTTCTCCGTACTTATCTATATATTTATATGTAGAGTTGTGTACACTATATAGAAAGTATATGACAAATAATAAATTCACTTTTATTCACTATAATGAGTAGCACCTGATTAAAATGGCAACACACTGGCATAATGCAGTTGCTAATTCTCTGTGAACAACACATTAAAGAAAAATGGAAGATTCACATGAAACTCAGTGCTCACCAGAGACCTCAGATGCATGTTCCTCAGGATTCAGTGAGCTTTTCTGTCAACACAAATGCACTAAACTGCATGCATCTGCACAGCCTATTATGTAAAACTACATCTCTCAGAGAAGATAAAAGAATCATAATTTGTTTACAAATATGTTGGTTCTCTTTAATTGGGTTTGGCACAGTCACATTTAAGGACAAAAAAAATAAAATTCTTCTCCATACAATTTTGTGAAGTAGTTTGTGTGTGAGAAGCAATTTGTCCATTTGACCAGAGAAACAGAATCATCTTTAAGAATGACAGAAATATTTTCTTCTTTACTCACAGGAAGGGGGGAATCTGTTACATCTTCCCTGGTTAATAAGGAAAGTATGAGTTGTATAAAGGTTCTGCTTACAGAAAAGCTAATTACTTTGTATTGTTTATAAAATTCCATTTCTATACAATCTTGCTATATAACATTAGGAACTCTGGTGGCCAAATGGTAGGAGGCTGCACTGCAGTCCTATAGGCATCTGGTTCGAATCTACCAACTGCTCCATGGGAAAGGATGAGAAATCTCATCTCAAGTGATTAACTGCCTCTGAAAAATCACTGTAGGATCAGCTATAATTTGATTCCTACTCATTGGTACATAACAATAACAACAACAACAACATATCATATTATGGGAGCTCTGGCAGCATGGTGGTATTATACCGCCAATCCCACATTAGGTAGTTCAAAGTCACCAGCTGTTCCTTGGCAATAAGATGGTCAATGTCCTTCCATGTGCTTTACATTTACAGACTCTGGTCATTGAGGGTTAGCTATTAGTTGGTAACTCAATGGCAAATACCAACCATATATATAGCTTTGCTCTTTCCCACAATCCAGTCTTAACCTGTATCAGTCCTTATATATTTCCTAGCTATGCATCAGAAAGCTGGACAATGACTAGGGATGATAAAAGGAGAATTGATGCCTTTGACCTATAGTTCTGGAGAAGAGTATTGAATACACGATGGAGTTCTAGGAGAACAAACAAGTTTGTCCTAGAGAGAGTGAAGCCAGGCAGATCCTTGGAGACAAGGATCCTGAAGCTTGAAGCTTTGCCTGACATACTTTGGAAATGTAAGGCTGGACCTTGGAGTTCTTGGAGAGGCAAATCATGCTTGAGTGGTTGGAGAAACAGTGCAGGAGAGGAAGAGCCTCCATGAGATAGACTGATTCAGTGACTGAGATAATGGGGTGGGTGTGTCAGAGACAATAAGAATGGGGAACAGGATAGAGCAGGGTTTAGGGCTGTTATACACAGGGTCGCTATGAGTCACAGGTGACTCAACGGTACATAATCACAAAAATAGTTACAAATACTTCCTTAGGTAGAGGAGAATTGTTTCTCTGTAAACTAAAACAGAAAGATTAGAAAACCTTCATCTAATGTTGACTTTGCCTAAGAAATGTCTGTTGAGCATATGGTCAAGAGGGGCCATCATGCTGGAAATAGGCATTATGCTGGGGAAGGTGGAGGCCCAAAGGAGGAGAACCCTGAAAACATGGACTGACCAAGTGACTGCCACAATGGGCTTGCACGTATCAGAGATGCTGACGATGCCACAGAACAGGGCAAGGGGCAGATCTGCTGTTCATGTGATCACTCCAAGCAACACTGGACTCAAAGGCACCTAACAACAATAACTGCACCTTCTATTCTGTTCATTCATTTTAAATTTCACATTACAAGAGCTAGAAAGCATGCTAGCCCAAAGAGCATGATTCAAGGAAGGCATATAAGAGGTAAATTTTTCAGGATCAAAAAGTGCTAAAAGATCAAACATGGAACTTCCATCTCAGTCACTCATTTTATACTGTAAATCACAGTCATTTTAAAAATTAGGCCTAATTCAAATTTGATACTCTATCCCAAGATAAATGAAAGTTCTCGTGTGAAAATGCTGTTAGTTCGTCCTGGAGAGGGTAAAGCCAGACTGCTTCTTGGAGGCAAGGATTCTGAAGCTCCATCTGACACACTTTGGCATGTTGCAAGGCAGGATCAGCCCTTGGAGAGGGATGTCACGCTTGGGAGGGTGGAGGGAAAGCCCAAGAGAGGAAGACTCTCGATGATTGATTCAGTGACTGGGGTAATGGGGCTAGGTATGTTGGAGACAACAAAATTGGCACGGGATACAGTAGGCTTTAGGGCTGTTGTACATAGGTTTGGTATGAGTCGCAGGCAACTCAATGACACATAACAACAACAATAACAACAATGTAAAAGTGTTGGCCTTATTCCATGACCTACGTGAAATGAAAGTGAAATATATACTTTTTTAAATTTTATTTTATTAATTTTAATGAACATTTACAGAGATTTTGGATTACCATTCCTTCATTGTTGCAAGAAATATGTACTTTTATAGATACAGCATACTTCCTATAATGTATACTTATTTTGAGTAGGTCAAACTCAAAATTTCTTATATGTATTAAAGACAAAAATATACTCTTCATTTAATATGAAAATTTATTTTGATTAATCTACATTTTCATTTTTAAAAGATATTTTTTAATAAATGACTATTAAAAAGCAACTGTTCTAATAATTCACATTTAAAATATTTGACCATCATGTTCCAGTGTGAAGGTTTTGACATGTTAAAGAGATATTGGCAGACAAAGCATCAAGTGAACTTAGTAAGTATTTTATTGAATGTATATTGAGTTCAACTGAATGTGTATCATCCAAAGATATAAAAGCTATGGAACATCTAACTAAAAGAAAATAGAAAGCTAATATGATACACTGAAAAATAGTTAGAAGGTAACTCCACTATATTGTTGTTATTAAGTGTTGTTGAGTCAGTTGTGACTCATAGTGACCCTATGTACAATAGCTCTGAACCTTGCTCTATCCTGTGCCAACGCCATCATCTTTAATATTCCCACTCCCATTACCCCAGGCTCTGAGTCAATATATCTCATCTAGGGTCTTCCTCTCTTGTATAGTCTTTCACCCTCCCAAGAATAATGTCCCTCTCCAAGGGTTGTTCCCTCCTTGTAACTTGTCAAAAAGTATGTCAGACGGAGCTTCAAAATCTTTGCCTCCAAGAAGCAGCCTGTTTTCACCCTCTCCAGGATGAATCTGTTTGTTCTCCTAGCAGTCCATGGTGTATTAAATACTCTTCTCCTGCACCACAGCTCAAAGGCATCAATTCTCCTATCATCACTAGTCATATTCCAGCTCTCTAACACATAGCAAGTGATTGCAAAGACCATGGCCTGTATCAGGTGCACCTTAGTCTCCAGACTGACATCATTGCTATTCAGTCCTTTAGAGAGGTCTCTAACGGCTGACTTTTCCATCACAATACATCTTTTAATTTCCTGGTTGCTGGTGCTAAGAGTGTTGATTGTGGAGCCAAGCAAACGGAAGCTGTGAACAATCTCAATCTCTTCACAATCTATCATGATCCTGCCAATTGAACCAGTGGTGAGAATATTTACTGCAAGTTATGGACCAAGATTCACTGTAGTATTCATGACAGAGTAGTGATCAAAGAGGGAGGAATGGTATTCATACTAGTTGGAAAGATGCAATCTTTAAAAAAAATAGTATCTAATAGCTATACATATGATATCAAAAACTTTGGGAATATGAATTTCTTGCATTAAGTAACAGAGACATTATTTAATATGACCCAAGAAATGAGTCTGCAAATTTCAGAAAATCATATAAGAGAAATAGTGCTTAAAAATACACTAAGAATGTTGTGCACAGTCCATTGGGATACAGAGACCAGACAGAAGTGAGAAGATACTTCAAGTAAGGACAGATGTTTTGTGGCTGCTATGCTCATTGGCAATATGAATGCTGAAAACAGAAGGAACCCAACAGACACTTAACAGGAAAACTTTGAATTCAGTGACTTTCTGACTATAGGAAACAGAGGACAAACAAAACAGATCTTCAGCTGCTTTATATCCTAAAACTGAGAGAATAGTGACATCAATGTAACGTATGAAGATATTATTAATAATAGAACAGTGAAAGTATTACTGATTTCTACAAAAACAAGAAGAATCTAAATCCTGAGTTTGGAAGAATTCAAAGCTTGGCTTGTGCCTGCTGATCTCAGTGTTGGATTTCCGTCATCTTTGCAGTGTTTGAAATGCATGTCTGTAATACATATGCACCCACTTTGAAAATACTCACCTGTTTGCCACCAGTGGTCTAGGACAGGAACTTGGAAGACCTGTTTGGACCATTCCAGAGTCTCCACATCACAACGTTCTCCAGCTACAAATAATGTTTTGAACCTGAATATTAACAGGGATAGTAAATGAAAATTACTTATTGAATAATAAATATAAATTATATTATCTATACTTTGAAACATTAAGGTATCTAACCACATTGACTATGTCAAGGATGTTGTTTGGTGCTGTCCGTCGAGTCGTAGATGACCCATAGCGACCCTATGAACGAAAGACCTGAACACTTGTATAACTTTCATCATTTTTCCAGGTTCCAGAGGCAAGCCATTTTGGAAGTGGATGCTACTTCTGCTTCCAAGCTTGTTTTAATCAGGAAGCTCCACCAAACACTGTCCACCATGGGTAACCATTATTGCATTTGACACATCAGTGTCACAGTGTTTAGAATCACAGCAACCACAAGCCACCTCTGACCAAACGCATTTCTAAATAGGAAGCCGAATCAAATCAACTCACCCAGTTGGTGAGTAAACATTCCACCCTAATACTTGCCAGAACAAGCAAATAAACTTCTGTGGAATTCAGCTGCTGCAGAAGACTTCCAACCTGGATTCCAGCCTCATACTGCCGACTAAATGTGTTTTTAAATAGAAGGCCAAATCAAATCAACTCACACCATTGGCGAGTGAACATTTCACCCTAACACTTGCCAGAATCAGCAAACAAACCTCTGCACAATCCAGCTGCTACAGAGGACTTCCATATATCCTATCTTGGAATGGTGAGAGGCAGTATTTTTTTTTTAAACCAAATATCATGGTGTGATAATAGGCAGTACTTGTCTTAAACCAATGTGTAAACAAAAGGAAGGAACCACAGTATAAGGAGTGCATAATTTTGAAATGAGAATTTACAATATTTTCTAAAGTTCCCAATATTGAGATGAGAAACTGAGGTTCATTTTGTAATATGTGTACATTGGTATTGTATTGTCTGAAAATAAAAATTGAAGTTCACTCCTTGACATTGTTACAGGTGTAATATGAAAAATATTGTGTTATTGTGTCACATCCTCACAATCAATGATATATTTGTGCCAATTTTCAGGCACAATTGAAGCTAATGTTATTTTTAGTGGACTTTACCAAGAAAAATGTCTTTCTATACAGACTAGTCCCTCCTGATAACCTATCTAAAGTACATGAAATGAAATCTTCTTCCTACTTCTAAGCAACATCGTGTCCATACATCTTTCATACAGATTTGCTCATTATTCTGGCAATTCATGATACATTTAACATTCTTTGTCAACTGTATGATCTAAATGGATAATTTGTTCTATGATATTCATGATTGTATAATGTTCCCAAATATATGATATTGTCAGGAGGTGCCATGGAGTCAAGTACAACTCATAGGAAATCTATAAACAACAGGTCTGATTCCTGTCCTATCCTGTGTCATCCTCACAAACTCCAACACACTTGAGTCCATAGCCTCAGTTACTGGGTCAATCCACCTGGGTTGAGAGTCGTCTTCTCTCTTGCTGTCACTCTCCCTTTCCGAGAATAATAACCCTCTCCAAGGCACAGCCTTTTCTAGGAACATGCTCTTTTTTCCCAAAGAGCACTCTGGCTGCACCTTCCACGAGATATTATTCCTTTGTTCTTTTGTCAGTCCACAAGAGATTCAATACTCTTCTCCAAGATCACAATCCAAAGGCATCAATTCTTCTGCCATTACTTATGTATTGTCTAGCTCTCAGCACCATATCAAGTGATTGCAAAGATAATAGCTTATATCAGATGTAGCTTAGTCATCAAACTAACATCACTGCTTCTCAGTCATTTGAAGATATCTCTGAATGCAGACTTTCCCAGTGCAACATGCCTCATTGTCTCCTAACACCTGGTATCACGTGGACTCATTGTGATTCAAGTAAGGTGAAGCTGTTGACAGTTTCAATCCTTTCTTCACTTATCATGATGTTACCTGCATTGTTCGCAATAGTGAAGAGATAAAAGCAGTTCAAGCACGCATCAACAAATGAATGGATAGGAAAACGGCACAACAGAATATTACACAACACCGAAAAATGATGAACTTGTAAAGCAATACACAGCATGGATGAGTTTGGAATACACTATACTGAGTGAAATATCTCAATCACAAAAGGACAAATACTCCATCACACCACTCTTATACAAATAGGATGGGCATGGGGGAGGGGAAAGCAGGGAAAGAATGGATACATAATGAACGTTAGGAATAGGAGCAGAGAAGGACTACCTGAAAGGAATGGATGATTAGACTTTATATGTATGACACTTAACAATTTGGAACAGGATCTAGATTAAAAAGTCAATGGGGGAGGGAGGAAAATATGTAGCAAATGATTAAAAACTCATCCTTTCTGTAAAGTTTCACTAAAATCACAACTAATTTTTTTTCTCTCTCCAAGTATGGGGGATGGTTTGAACTCTGACACATATTTTTCCTGATTTTAAATTCTGTTTTCTTGGAATGTCTACCTTGGGATCTGTGCCAAGATCACAGAAGCACAAGTATATATTCTAGAATTCTTGTTCCTTACAATGTTATTGATAACTTGTTACAATCCACACAATATTCCTGCTATTCTCTGTTTTCAGTCAGGATTCATCTGACACCAGGAATGGTATATTTCCCGCCCCCCCCCCCATCCTTTTCTGAATTCAGAGAGTTCTGGTAGCTTATTGTTGTGATTGTTGTTGTGGACGATAGAGTCAGAACCAACCCATAGCTGACCCTTCAGTGCGTTTTCAGAGGCAATTAATGACACAGGAGGAGATTCCCATGCTTCTCCTATGGAGCACCTGGGGACCTCAAACCACATGCCTTTGGGATTGCAGCATAACTTCTTGACACTAGGCCAAGGAATTGTGCTGTTAACCCAAAAGTCACAGTTCAAATCTGCTAGTGACTCCACTACAGAATGATGGGCAGTCTCCTTCTGTGTGATTTACTGTGTCTGAAACCTGCTGGAGTGTCAGCCTTGATAAGTTGGTTCCAGCTTGAAGGTACTCAATAAGAAGATCTTCTCAATTTGCCTTGACTTTCTGGCATTCCCTTACCAATAGAGTGCTGCAACCATTTAAAATTTTCTTCAGCAAAATGTTGCTTGTGTGTGTGTTTGTTAACGATAGTGTGGTGATTTCTGCATTCTACTGGATCACACTCCTTGGGAGTGGGCATACACATGGATCTTTACAGGCCTGCTGGCCAGGTGGATTTTTTGGCCTACATCAGAAAAAAAAGATTAAAAAACAAATCCACAAATATTTAATTCGCTTGTTACAAAGCTCATTGGCATGCTTTCAGTTCCTGGAGTTCTCCTTTTTTTCAATGTCTTCAGTGCCTTTTGGATTATTTTTCTCTCTAATACTGTCAGTTTTTCATCATATGCTATATTTTCATAATGTTTAACATGAAGCAATCCTTTTCCATCTCTTTTACATTCCTTCTATCATCTTTTGATACCCTCCTGTATTGTTCAATATTTTGCTCATCGAGTTCCTCAGCATTACAACTTGAAGTTCATCCCTTTTCCCCCGCCCTCCTCAGTTCTTTAGTTAAATAAACGTTAAGTGTGATATTCCCTTTGAGTTTACTGATTTTGAGTGGTTGTACATTTCATTATACTTTACTTGGTCTTCTCAAGATATCCTTTGAAATCTTCTGTTGGTTCTTCATCATTTCTTCTGTTTTCTTTAGCTGTTCTGGTGGCTTATGTTAAGGAATCGTCCTGCCAACATAAGGTACAGAGTTTGAATCCACCAGCAGCTCCATGGAAGGAAGAGCTACTGGAGGATCAACTATTAGTTGGGTCTGGACATTCAGATCCCGTTTCAGAATGTTTTTCTAGTTCTTTCATTTCTTTTCAATGATCTTCTGCTTTCCTCATGTACAATGTTCTTAGTGTAGTTCCATATCTCATCCTGGTCTTGTTTATTAGTGTTCGGTACACGAAATCTCTTTTTGAGTTTGCCTTTAAATTCAATAGAGGCATTTTTGGAGTCATGGTTTTGCTGGCATGGAGATGTTTTCATTTTCTTTCAGCTTCAATATAAACTTGTCTATGAGTTGACCTTGCCTTGTTGTGACTAATGATACTGAAATTAACATTACCTCTTTACACATGCGTAATAAATATTATTCATATGTATTGCATCTTGTGAGGTCCACTTGTATAAACACTTTTTATGTGGTTAAAAGAAGATATCCATTGTTAAAAATTATTAACCTTGAAAAGTCTGTAATCATAACTCTCATGTGATTTTTTATCACCTATGCCACTTTTTGTAATTACCAATCCATCTTTATTATTTCCAACTTTCACATTTCAATTACCAGTAATTATTAATGAATTATTATGCATATTTGATCAATTTCAGACTGCAGATGTTGAAGATCTGCAGTCCAAATTACCTTGGTTATTTCAATGCCACACTTGGCAACTGTATTCTTTAAAGATTATACACAAAAATAAAAGCAGGTATCACCCAAGACAGAAAGCATCCATAAATATTACTACTTTATTCCTTATTCTGAGTTCCTCTGAAAATGATCACTCCAATATCTAGCATATATTCCCATATTCCCAAAGTATATGTAAGACAAAACAGGGAAAAATGTCATTGTGGACTTTCAGATTAAAATGAATCTTATAATAAAGTAAAATAAAATTATGCCGACAGAAGTAGTAGAGCTTTAATAGAGCTCACAATGAAATAAGATCCAAAGCAACTCATTAGATTATAAATAATAAAATCATAAGGAAAATCTGTGTAACTCATCCTAAACTTTGTGTTACACATGTATCATCTTTTTACCATTCTCTTCATTTTCCATATCATCTCATAAAGTTCATGGAGATTAAAGACTTTGCCTTTACTACCTAATAGTATTTGCTTCTTATTTCTGCCACATTATTCCATAATAATTTTTTCTTGTCTATTTAATACCCTGAACAACGAGCTCCTTAAAAAGATTCATATTCATATCCTCAATACCAAAACAATCAAAAAAGTGATGATTTCATTTTTCAGTCATTTTAATATTTC